AAATTTGATAGAGTAATTATATTCGAATATAAGTATAATTAAATATTTTTAAAGGTAGGTTTATAAGCTATATGAGTTTATGTTAGTGTTTTAAAATACCTGCTTCGAAATTGTTGCATAGTTCTTAATGATCGCTCTCGTTAAATAATTTTATTGTTTTATTGAATATAAATTTAAAGAAATTCATATATTCTACGTCTAAACAAGGGGATGATATAAATATATTCCACTCTTTAGAGTGGGATATATTTAAATCACTGCACTTTTACCGCAATGAAGTCGTAAACCGCATCTCAATTTATAAATTTATATAAAAAATTTCAGTTAATATTATAAAATTGTATTTATAAATAAAACCATTTAAATTTATAACTATATACTTAACCAATTTTGTAATTCTTCTATAAAAAAATCATCCCTGAAATTAAATTAATGGATTGTTTTGCAGAGTACAAAATAAACAGATAGTTTTCAATAGATATAAAGTATTAAAAGAGGTAGCTAATGATGTCAAAAAATTTCGAATTTTATTTAGAGGTTGTAGAGAAAGAAAAAAAAAAAAAGTCGATTTATGTTCCTCCTTTTCACCTGAAGTCCATCTGCGGATCGTCCACTATTCAAATAAAAAGAGAGAGAGAGAACGTTGCGGTCACTCGTAGACATACAGACCAACAATAATTGAATTGGTGGGCGATTCTATAAGAGAAATTGCAGGTTCGTGATGAAATGTGAGGTTTTTTTAGTTCTCCCATCAGTTTGCACGCGCCAACGGTCACGTGTCGTCATTAGGTGGCCTCCGGTGGCACAATTTTATCAAACCTACTGGAGTATGATGGTTGGCACATTAGGTGCTTTGTCCGGGTTCATACACTGAGGAAAGCAGTTCACGCCAAATGTGGTCTCTCTCTCTCTCTCTCTCTGTCGCTCTCTCTCTCTTCTGACTCTGCCGTAGATAAGATAAACAGTTGCCAAGCGACTGGTAGAGGAAGGAATATGTGATTCCGTTTCCCTGTTCAGTGCAGCGCAGGAAATGTCATTATAAATGTGCACTGTAGTATAGTTCGTTGCGGACTTGGTTTACGCTACTTCAACCCCACTCCGAAACGAATGGAAAACATACAAAACAAACCTTATTAACACTCACACCATATAGAAAACTCCAGCCGACAATAGGTAAATATTCTCTTGTAAGTCGACCAAACGATTCTAATTTAGACAATTTGTGCACTGTGATTATAGCAATTCTTCGACATAAACAAATTTTCGATTCAGATAAAACCACGTAGAAACGATTTCCATTTTTTTTAATGCCTTAAAAAAATCACCAAAAGAGTGTAAAGAGGCTCTTGAATTACGTATAAATTTAAATTCGATTTAGTCTGTTAAGCATCGGAATCCCTCACTCTAACGATAATTTATGAAAGATCCGTTTATGAATATTTAAACGTTAACAAATAGATTAAATTTAAAAAATAAAATAAAATGATGAGAGCATTTTATATACCGTACATCTTGGTATATTTTCGGTGTTGGTAACAACAGGCTAAAGATGATGAACGCGTGGCCAGTCATGAAAATCCTACATCAATCAGTTACAAAAGTTCAAAATGAAGTTATTTTTACGTCATGGCGGCTCGTAATTTTCAGATTGTGGCGATCACGCCGTCTAAAGCCATCCTTCACCTGTCCTATGCGTTCCTTTGTGGTAGTCACACCAGCATAAATTACCGTGACTGTAGTACCCTGAGCCACGCGCACGAACAACACGCAAGCCACTTCACTCAACTATTCATTAGTTCAGACGGAAGATTATTAGTGGGTAGTCCAGTTATACTGGCTAGCAATTAAAATGCCGCCGATGTCTGACTTTTACCGACGTGGCGGGGGTTGCACGAGTTTTGATTTCAAAACTAATGACTTTTCACTCGGATTGTTTCACTTTAATCTAAAAGACGAATCTGAAAGTTGAAAATTAAAAACCGCACGTGACTTGACTCGAACTCTAACTGCTCGCATAACCCGTCTCGTGTCTTTGTGTACGTAAACCGAATCACCCCCCTTACGCCAACAATAGATATAATGGTGTGCATGTGCACATACCTGATCGATTTGTATACGTATATATATATATATAGACCTATAGGCTATCATTGGATAAAAAGGAAATGCCCAATTGAGGAAGATAGGTCAAAAGGTGGAGAGGGAAACAGATGTACAGTTCTTTTCTTTATCTATTATTACGGGTAGTTTTGTTTTGTAACGGTCAATATCTGGATTTTTTTTTCAATTCTCCTTCCTTCCTAATCGAATGGTAATTAGTTTTGCATTACAACTTTTCTGGTGATTAATGCTTTTTTATCTGTTCGAACATTTCTTTGAATGGTGTTCATAGGGAGAGAAAAACACAAGCATTGGTAGTTATTAGATACGAGTGGTAATTAAGGTATAACAGTTTATCTAGTATTAAATGCAACAGATGAGTCTGCGAGGATTAATTAGAGATTAGAACTGTATCGTTAGATGGTAGAATTTCTTGGTCTATTAAAGATCATCAACAGTTATTAACAGAAAACAACAAACAGTGAAGACGAAGCAAATTATTCATGTTATAAGACAGATAATTTAATATAAACGTACATTTCCTGTTATTTTATGAATTATTAATAGTTTCTTGATCACAATTACGCACCTATAGAAGTCATTTTATCTCTTTTGTTTCTTCCTAATAGGTTAATAAATAATTCACCTAAAAATTTCCTTTTCCAAACTTGAAGTTAAAACTTCTTGCTAATTATATATTATACTTTAATATAATTTAATACAGCCTTTTATGTATTGTATCTTTTTTTTTCCTTTTTTTTTCTAACCATTTTCGCATCTGTTTAATTTGCGTCTTCTTGTAATGTTCACTAAAGTACAAAAAAGAAGAAGAAAAAAAAAGTTTCTGGATGTAAACAAATTTTGACTTTTTTGCATAAATTTAAATATTTAATATCATTTTTTCGGCATTAAAAAATAATTATTATTATAATAATAACTTTATTAATTGAATTCTTAGTTTGGTAACTTATGAATAAAAGTTAATAAATTATATAGTTTTTTAAAGTTTAAAACTTAATTTTGATCAATATTTAATTGTGTTTAATGTTTTAAAAAGTCATAATAATATCGACAGAATGCGGTAATTGCTTATTAAAAGTTGATCGGATTAATTGCTCTAATGCAGCTTTGGTGCAATTTGCCTTTCAAATTCGGTGGTTCGGCTTCACCTCGTAGCAACCATACCGCGAGGAGAAGCCACATTTAACAACGGCCGACTTATTACGTTTTTTTAAATTAGTTTAAAAAATAAATAAATAAATTTTTGGTCGATTAATATAGAAAATTTAGTTTAAGGAAGAACTTTTGTTTTGATTTTTAGTTTTGCTATTAATAATTTATTTATTTTACAGCAGTTAGAAGCGCCTTGGTAATTGAATCAGGGTTGGCACATTCATCTAACGACATTAGATGAAATGACAGTGGGCATGACAACCGAAAGATCATTTGTTACAAGTCCTAATCTTGTTTTCACTGATTAAAGTGTTCTAGAAATCGCCGGATTAAACGTGCATGAAGTTCACATTTTAGCTACGACATTACTGAAGAACTTTAATGAGATTTTTGTGGTGGGAAAAGAGGGATAAGAAAAGAGACCGAGCCGAGCAACCCGTAAACGAAAGGAGGCGTTGGAGGATTAAAGACACATCGACGAAACCAATTATAATTGTAATTAGCTCCTCTTATCTCAAGAGAACAACTGTGTGACGGGGCTTAGCAGTTGGCACTTGGCATTCTGTATGCTCGTCAGTTTTTAATCTGGCATTTCTGCCAAACCGTAGCAAATCCCATTGTGTCCCAGTCAGACAAGCACTAGAGAAGTAGAGGCTTACCCCAAGACTTCAACATGTGGCTTACCACTGCCTGAGGACAGCTATCTAAATAGCAGTGACAAAATTGCTGGCAAAATGCTCTTAGAAGAGATTAACGTGCCTGCCACTGGCAAACCCATTCGTAGCACCGAGATTGGGGTGACGGTTATCTGGTCCCCGCACGTCCACACTTCCATTAAGGGGTGATGGAAGGAGGCCGAGTGACGTCATGGCTGTGTTGTGACGTCAAATGAGACTGAAAAACCACTTTCTTAAGCATTGTCCTCTTAACCTTCCGGCATCATTCACCTGCTTGTTCTTTTCCCAACTATTCCAATAAAGCAAGCAGTAATTCCAATTGCTGTTATGCAGTCAAATATCAGGGATGCCTTCTGTTCTGAATGGGGCAATGAATGGTGGTGATGGTGGGGAGTCGCACTAATGCCAAGTGCACAACAAAAGAACTAGAATGAATGCCGCATTATTTCCGCTTTGTGATATGTTTCCTGAGCCCTATATTGATTCATGGGACCTATAACTTTAAATAAAATATTCCTATAATGTTTATTAATAGTATCGACGACTACTAAAGATCGACCACCGCGCTTAATTTAGATTATTCTTATTTATAGTAGCAACATATTAAAGTGTATCAAGTGTGGATTTTTATTATTCTTAATGATATTGATTATAATAATTTAGAAATTTGTCCATTTTAATAATGTATTTACTTTAATAAACCTTTTAATTTCTTTACAAATTGTGAAAACTTCATATCTTCTTACGATAGAAGAACTTTTCAGTCGCGCTACATCGAAATTTTCAAGAAAATACACATCACTTTATAATAATAAAATATTTAGTTTATTAATCGTTAAATTTTAATTTAACTTGGAAAAATCTATTTAAAAAAGAAGAGAGAGAGATAAATGAATTTTCAAACCGCGAAGAGATGCGAAGAGGTCAAAGTAATCCATCCAAAATCAATTAGGAATAATTACAATTTTCCTGTTTTCTTAACAAATTAAAAGAATAATCGCATTAATACCGACATCCAGCGAGAGATGGCGCTGAACGGGACCTTCTAGCATCATCCTCTCTTCTTTACAATCACCCTATCCAGGTAAGTTCTCCCTGTTTACTTTCCGTTTAATCCAAAAATCAGTTAAAGCAGTGTTGCGACTTAAACTAGAATAATGAATCAGGTCGGAACAGTTTTGATTATCGTCGAGGTCAACGCCATTCAAGCGACTGTTTAGTCGCAACTGGCGCATCTCACCTTCTACTACTTCTACACACCATTAACTCGCTAATGTTGAGAGGATGCTTTTTTTCCCCCTTTTCTTTCATCCAACTTCTACAATTCTGGCCGAACAAGTCTTTGTACATGATGATTGGCCGTCCAGTGTGAGGAGCGGAGGAAGGAAGACTTGTCCACGCCGCCTGCAGACATTGTCCCCATTTAGTCTTGCAGTTAATGGAATGTCGACCGTTTTTGTCTACTCTTCTCTATAGGAAACGTCATTTTTCGTTTCCTACATCTTCTTTTGTCGCGATATGTCTTTCCGACCGATTAATGAGCTGAAAGCGTGAGATATGACGCCGAGATTTTTCAGTTGGCGATTTGAGGGTAAATCGCTCCCACTTGATTACTTGCTTAACGATTATAGTGCACTATTCCGAGACGTTTTTATCTTTATCTTTCTGTTTACATTTCTTTTCATGCAAATTTCTGAGAGCAGAAACGTGTTCTAACATCGCACCATACCAAAAAAAAAATCGCGTGCTAGACAATACAGTAAAGCTCATTGTGACGAAGTTTTACAAATTCCTTTTTTTAAACTACATTACACATTAATAAACATAAAAAAATCTTTATTAAGAAATGTAAGAATTGTTATTAATAAGAATATTGAGTAAAATTTATTTAAATCTTCTTAATATCTCGAACTTAGTCAATTAATAACCTAGACGTGCTTAAAGATAATATATGTAAGGCAGTTAAATTGCACGAAAAAATACTTATATATAAAAAGTCTATTTTTATACGAATTATAAATAAAGTTAGATTATTTCTTGTCCTAGTTAATAAAAATTACAAATATAAAGAATTTAATTAATAATGATTCAAATTTTATGATAGACAGGCCTAAAGGCACGAAAGCAAATTGTATAGAAAAATGTAAATGTTCTTATTTTTTTAATCACTAACATTTTAGTTCAGTGTTCTATCTTCTTTAGACTAAATATCACCCGCTGCGCCATGATGTATTACTGGGTGGATGATTGAGGGTAAGAATCTGGGTGATAGTGGATTGCACCCATTTTCATACGTCGTGCCTCCTACCAGAACGACCTTAGAGCATAACAGTTTGTGCTACTTAAATCGCTCTAGTTAAGCATATAATTCAAAGTGAAAACGGTAAACAAACCTTTTACTCAACTATTTTCGAAACTTTAAAAAATTCCTATCTTTTTCTCTTCTTATTTACATAAAGATAAATATTGCACAGCATCCAATCAAGAGATTACTCTTTCAATTAGATGGATCCTTTTAGGCCAAAATGTTTGACCAAATCTAAACCCAGATTTTCCTTAATCAGATTAAAGCATTACCGAATTGTTATCGTCAAAGTAAACTCTACGTTATCCTTCACTAGATCAAAGAAGAACTAAGAACATACTAAATTGGTGGCTCGGAGTGTTATACGACATAGGCTAATCCCTCTCGAGAGAAAAAAATAAAGAAAGAAAACTAACTACAGGCAGTAAAAAGAAAGAGAAAAATGCATAGATAAGAAAAATGCAGCATCAGCAAATATGCGCGATACATACATTAGTTTTGTGTGGTATGAAATCTTATCTGAAGCATAATTCGTCCTTTTTTCCGGAATTTCTTAATGGTGGCTTCAATGGCAAATAGGAGAATACGATATTAATTTTAATATAATAAATTACATTAAAAATATGAATCCATTAGCCTTGATAATTCTCTTGTCTATAATTCTCCAACCGGATCTTAAGATATTGGAGTTTTTGTTCTTTCCCCCTTCGTCGTAACGTTTACAGGAAAGGGTGTAAAACAGGTCTATGGTAAATGGAAGTACAAGGCTTTAGGCGACCTCAAAGGGCCTCCGTATGTCAACACAGATTCTTGTCTTGTCAACTGCTATTTTGGTAGCAGTTCCAGCTGACTTGTGTTGTTTTAACCTTGGGTCAGAACTTGTAGAGCTGTTGTCAGATTCACACCCTAGTTACACTCTCTCTCTCCTCCTAGCTAGTTTTCTAACTTTCTTAACAAAGTGACATGTTTATTTAACTCTGCTAGCAATCAGCATGCCTGTTCTTCTCTCGGTTCCATCAACGAGATATTATCGTTGAAGAAGGGGGAAGAATTCGACATTGTTAGAAAATGAGGTAAAGGAGCGAGAAGATTTTAATTGGAAATCGTGTAGATTGCGACGAAGTATCTACATAAGTTTTATGTGAAGGAAGGAGAATATGTATTAATTTTCAAAAGAATAACTCGTGAGCCATTTTAAGAAAGGGAACAATAAGTAGGAAAATTATATCTCTTCAAAAAAGATGATCCGGAAGCGTGGGCAGAATTAGTTGGAATAAAAAAGCACATCAGTAGGAAGTGGCCGTGAGAATAGAACTTATAAATTCAGTCTGTCATTAAATATAGGTCTGTGTAATTGTCCAGCCTCCTACGGAGTTGGTTGCTTGGAGGACGCGTCAATTAAAGTCCCACGGAGTGGAAACGTAGCAATCGGAGGCAATGCTACCACCATCTATTGTTCAGACGTAATTACGTAAACAATTATAGCAATTATCAAGTAAGGGTGATCGAGGAGAAGTTTTATATTCATTACTAAATTGGTGACGGAAGATAGAGAAGCGAAGAAAAAAAAAGAAGAAAAACAGAAAAGAAAAACGAGTATGCACTCCTTAAGATTTCTCAGGAGATTTTTCTCCCATTGGAGTAGGCCTATAGGAGAAAGTATCCGTCTGAATTGGATCCAATTAAAGGGGAACGAATGCGGATACCCGAACCCATACCTGGATATCGAACAGTCTACACACACATAGAAAACACCCAACCAATGGGCTGTATGCTGGGGAGGAGCCACGTCACGTGACGTGAGGTGGTAGTATTTTATTTTAGCACACAATTAGGCGACTGGAAAGGGACGGGAGTACTTTGCATAAAAGAATTGACCAACTGCTGACCTCTGACTCCGGAGCTCGACTGGGGAATTGGTAGCCAAATGAGACTATCGAACGTGATGGGTGGTGCTGTCACACTAACTTTTTTTAAAAGGGGGTTTCTTCTGAGTTAATTATAGCCCGGAGAAGTAAAATCGCTTATTTTGCTTTGCATTTAATGGAAAATTCGTCCGATCATGAAGATGTCTTTTTCGACATTTAACTGTCTCTAACAACTAGGTAGGAAAGAAGTGGAAACGTCTAATTTTTATACACTTTACTGTTGTTGTTTTTTTACTTCTCCTTCTTCCTTTCTTCGGTCAATTCTTGACGCTACAAAGCAATTTCTGTAATTTATTGCATCGAAACTATCTTCGGGCGACCTTAGTATTATCCCCCAGAGAGATCAATAGAATCAAGTTGAATGCTTGATTCATTTATGATGTTTAAAAGGTAACTATGTCACTTAAAATTTAAGAAATATATCAACAAAAATATTCTTAAAATTAAACAATTACAAATAAAATCCATTGTGTTTCCGCTTCATTAATTCGCACCACAAAAATTTATTCAAAGAAAAAATTTCTGATGGAATAAAAAAAAAACATTGTTAAAAAATAAGTTTAAGTCCCGATAAGCTCTCGGTGTAAAGAACATTTAAGAAGATTTCAGGTGTAAATAAATCTGGCAGATATGCCAATATCCATAATTATCTTTCTATTACGGAGGATAAATCTAAGCTATAGTGGAATGTCTTTTCTCCTTCATATATTATAGAAACTCCAGCGGGTGCTAGTAGGAGAGAATGACAGTTTGGATCCACCAGTATTTGTCAGCCAACCTCCTCCCAGATACTATCGGGTACCCAGTTAAATTAATAAGATGAGAATGGCAAAGAGTCCCTGTGTAGGTGCTTATTGTCTAGAGGTTTCCGTTCATCAATCTTATAGCAGACATCCACCTCTTGCAGACTCGACCATACATTAATTGTCACCCGTCTGTTCAATCGTGGGAGGGGCCACAACCCGGAACATAATATATCTAGTGAACACTGCCACTTTGGATGCCAATGCCATTCTTTTCTCTTAACTTTGTTATCAGACTTGTTGATGTTGACAAAACTTAGCTTTAGAAAGTTGCTAAAATGCGTTAAATTTTTCTACAAAAATTCATCGTTCCATCTTCTATATTTTATGAGCTGAATGAGATGCAATTTAGAATTATCTGTTTAAAAAAAAATAAAAAAAAGGTATATATTTGATGGCACGGATTAATATGATGGGTGGATTATTTTCCTTTCTAATTTTAAATTTCTATACCAGGCAATATTTGTAATAAATACGATATTTTTGTTCCAAATAGGACAATAAATCATTAACGACCCGAGGCTAAAGAGTTAATGTATTTTATTTCCAGCTAATAAAACAAGTTAACAAATTGTAGTAGATTTTTTTTTTTTTACATTTTTAACTCGGTGGGAGGGTGGTAGAAACTCTCGGATCTGTGTGTAGGATTCTGATAATTTTCCCGCGCCCAAAGACATCATCCATAGTAAAAGGAGTCAGAAGACAAGCAAAGAGACCCGGAGGCTGCTGTCTTCTAGTGTTAGCACAATCGTTGTAATGGAGAGTACTTTTGTTGAACTATCTCCTTCTAAAATAAATGGTGGCGGCTCAATGATTGGTGTTATTATGTTCACCGGTTAGGACATTGTCCGACCAATGGTCGTTAATCCAAGCTCCCGCGAATGGTAATTTCCTTGCTGAAAACTTTCCCAGTGATAAATGGAGAGGTGAGGAAAATACAGCCAAATTATCTGACTTTTTTTTTTATACTCATCCACCGACTTCTCTACTTCTATCTACTAAGAACGATTCGCAAATTTCGAAATCGTGAGTTGCCTTTCGTATCTTA